AAAAAGCTTATCGGACGGTTCCCAGGCGCGCGGTGCACGTGGGTCTTATCGGACGGTCACGCGGTGAAGCAGTAACCTGGACACGTGGCGTGTAGTGAATCAATATATCAAATAAGTCGATAGCGTATAATAACGGACGATGCGCGGCCGCGAGTTCAGCGCGCAGCCGGGAGTCGGTGCGCAGTCGTGCCGTTACATCCAGGAGGCGTTGGACTAAGGTGACAGGACAGAACGGACCACCGAAGCGAGCGATGTAAATTGTCTCGCCCTTGTGGTACTGGTCGGTCTTGCTGTCCGGGATGAAGAGCTCCATATGGGACTGCGCGACAAACCTGATGGACTGCCACGAGATGGCAACTAGATCGTCGTTACGCAGAAACGAAGTGTAGCAAAGCGTGATTGCTGTGAGCTTCATAAGCTGATGAAGATTGGCCGAGAAATTGCCCCAGAGGTCAAAGAGGCGGCGAATTTGGGAAGCGAGGAACGGCCGTTTCTGGTTCAAACCAGCGACTTTGATTCGCCGAGCTGTCTCGCGCGCCATTTGAACGAGAGGATGGTTCGTCGGGGATAGGAGGCCAGCAAGGGAGTGATTCAAGTACACGGCCCCGGAGAAAGTGAGCAAGGGGGAAGGGCTTTTGGCGGTGCGAAGGAGTCGCATCATGTAAAGTGCAACGGTGAGAGGACCAGATGGCAGCGCTGGAACACCCTTTTCCTGGCACCACTCCTTGTAGTGCTTCCAGGGACCCGCATATGTTTTAAATGTTCCCGCCGCACGGCACAGGAGAGCGGCGTCATGGAGATCGACAGAGAGTTGGGCGAGCTCCGAGTCGGCGGACGGAAGGCCCGCTGAATTCAGGTCCCAGCTCTCGAAAGTAAACCAGTCAGCAAAATTCAAGTGAAAGAAGTAAGAATACGAAAAATGACGCGAATAGAGGGAGGAAATCACCAACGTGATCGCGGAAGTCGACGTCGAGCGCGAACACGTCGGAAATGGGGACACCCTTCCCGGAGAACCGGTCACGGGACGCCCGACCGGGAACCAGAACCTCGCGTCCCGCAGGAAAGTACAGCTGCTGCCGAACGAACGGTGCAAACCCCCGACCAGATTCCACGCTGCCGCACAGGAGCGGCCACCACGGGGCGGAGCGCCAGCCAAGCACAACGAGCGTCATGCGCGCGCGACACGCGCGCGCGTGCCGAAGCGTCGGAGCGACAAGGTTCGGCGGTGGGAAACAGTACTTTCTCTCGTCGGCCCCCCAATCCTGCGTGAAAGTGTTCGCGGCCGCTGCGCCGGGACACCAATAGAACGTGTCGAATCTAGGGAGCTTCGCGTTGTGCTCGCTAGCGAATCGATCAACCGTGCACGGACCAAAACGCGCGGAAATAAAAGCAAAAGCCTCCGCAGAAAGCCCGAAATCGTCAACGTCACGAACTTTGCTCAAATAGTCTGCGCGCGCGTTCTCCTCCCTCGGCAGCCATTCCGGCCGGAGCTCGATTCGTTGCTCGGAACAGAGAGAAAACAGCTCGAGGCACACCGACTGCAGATGCTCCTTCGCGGATCCGCCCTTGGAGAGAATGGAAAAGACGTTCAGCGCGTCGCCGCGTGCGACAACCGTGCAGTCGCTGAGGAGCGGTCGGAAAGCACGAAGCAGCCGTAGCAGGCCCGTCAGCTCCCGCCACGTGGACGAAGCAACGCCGTGCACTTCGTGCGGCTCCCAGGAACCATGTGCTTTGTGCTGTTCAGAGCCGATGTCTAAATGCCCGCCCCAGCCTTGGCCGCCAGCGTCGTAGTACAGGACGCAGAGAACGGAATGCTTGCGCCAAATGTCACGGCTCTCAAAACGCGAAAGCTGGCTCCTCCAAAAACGAAGCTCGCCTAAGGCTGCGCTATCGAGCTGCACCTTGCTGTACCAGGAGGAGCGGGTAGCTAGAGCTCGATGCAGAAAGCGCAAGAAAAGACCGGAAATGGGCCCTGTAAGTAGCGAAAGGGAAGTAATGAGGCCCGTAACGCGGGCAACGGTCTTGGCGGGGACGGACTGGGGATTGCGGAGGCACAACTCGATGGCAGAGTTGAGCTTGCTCTTCTGCAGCGCTGTCAGGCGAAACTGGCCGAACAGAGTGTCGATCACGAAGCCGAGGAATTTCACCACGTGGCTGCACTTGAGCTGACACTTTTCCTTCGAAACCACCAAACCAGCAGCTGCTAGATCTGCGAGGACGCACGCCTGAACACGGGCAAACTCTGCTGAGCTTCGGCACGCGAAAAAGAAATCGTCAATGTAATGGACCAGACGATAACCGCGAGCGCGCCAAGATTTGGTGAGCTGGCGCATCACCATCGTAAAGACGTAGCACGCAGGGGCGAGACCAAACGGAAGCTGCGTAAAAACATAGTATTGGCCCCGCCACTGGAAGCCTACAACTTCCAGTGCGGCTCGAAGATGTCGATGTGGTGATACCCAGCTTTGAGATCGATGGTGAAGAGCAGATTCTTAGGCAAACAGAGCTCCGAGATCATCCGGATCGACTCGTACTTGAACTTCGTAATTTGAAGAAATTGATTGAGAAAACGAAGATCCAAGGTAAGGCGCAGCTTGTCTTCCGCTTTGGGCACGACCCCCTGGGGACTAACTAGAAAGGGGGGATCAGAAACGGATTGAATCGTGCCTGTCGCCAAGAGGTTGCTGACGGCATCCGTGACGAAGCTGGCGTGCTCGAAGGCTGACGGGTGGTTGGGAAAGCGGTGAGGCTCTGTCGGAGGAGCGGAAATCCAAGGCAGCATGTAGCCGGTCAGCAGAATACCCATCACAAAGCTCGATGTGACGAAAGACTGCCAAAACTCGACATGGCGGCGAAGCCGGTGACGCAAGAAGGGCTCGTGCTTAGGAGCAGACTGCTTCGCTGCAGCGTTCTTGGCCGGATCACGGAAGTCCTCGAACTCGGCGGCTTCGGTCAAGTCAGCCAACTTGTGTAAAGACTCCTCAGTAGCTGCAAGTACAGAGAAAAACGAAGAAAAACAAAAATTAAGAAAAGCACGAGAACGACAACTAGCAACGGGAAGAAACAAAACAGTGCGGATCGAGATGGATAAATCCAAGCTACTTTGAGATGAGAACTCTCAGATAGACATCATCCCCGAATTGAGGTATATCGTAGCCGGCAACGTGCGGAGACACGGGCGTTTTATGGAAAACCACCTCTAATCGAGGGGCAGACCGTCAAACAATCCCATGCAGAGTTGAAACGGAGCGAAACGGACCGCGGAACGAGAACGGAACGGAACGGAAAGGAAAGGAAGAAGAGCAGAGGAGGAGGATACGGTATCAATGGTGGTTTGAACTTCCATTTTTGGAACTTCATTTGAACCTCTTCATGAACGGCCTTGCCCGGCCTGAACAAGATAAGGAAGCGCAGACTCCCCGCAGACTCGTGGACTTAGCGTAAAATTGCGCAAATGCAGAGAGTGCTTCATTCGATTTTCATTCGGAATGCATTATGAACTCCGAACGGAATGGTGGGGGTCCGGAACAGGGTTTCCCACAGCCGGCAGCTACACTTGGACCTGGCCGGCCGAGAAGAGACCCCGGCCGGTGCCGAAGGCACCCTGCCGGCTGGTCAGCCGGCAGAAAATGCAGGCGCTTAGTGGGCTCAGCCGGCCGGTAAACCAAATGCTGGCTACCGAGCCGGCAGAACCGGGGGCGCGCCGGCAGCTGGCCGGCCGGGACAAAAGTCCGTGGGAAACCCTGGTCCGGAATGGTAGTCTCCTGTATACGGTACTCTACAGCCTCTCTACATCTCTACAGTACCTAGATACGTACGTACGGTGCCTATTTTTAGCACTACGGTACATACTTTACAGTGGGAGAGTACGGTACCGTATGGTACCGCAGTGCAGTAGGCCCTTGGGTACCGTACCTTGCATGCTAGGTAGCTAAGTACGGTACTCTACCGTGTTCCGATTTCCTTCAGACTTCATTCAGAGTACTCCTGAATCCTGAAGTTCCGGAACACGGGTCCGGACCGCCGGGTCCCGGCGGGGTTTTTTTTAATTTGATTTATTTTTGATTTTATTCAATATTCCCAAGCAGGCCCCCCAGCTTCCGGAATTTCAGAATTCAGGAGAAACATGAATGAATCTTCAATGAATTTGGAATCTTCAGAATTATTTCGGGATTCATTCAGACTCCTTCTGAATCCTGAAAATTTGACTTCAAGCCATTTTTAACAGGTATTTATAATTTTACATTTAAAAAATAATAAAAAATAGCAGGGCCACCGGCGGCCGTCCAGATATTCAGAATTCAGGAGAAATGTGAACGAATTCTGAATGGAACAGTCTTCAGAAACTTCGTGTACCGCGCGGTACACCGTACCGTACACTGGCACGCCTCGCCCTGGTCTGAGGTCGGTACCAGTACCTACTTTAACTGTTGGGCGCGCACGCCGATTGGTAGTAGGTACCGGTCTCGTACCGGTATATGTACCGACTCTGTGGGTACGACCCACCCGTACCGATATGGGTACTGAGTTTGGTGAAAGACCAGTACCGTCCGCTGGTACCGTACAGCATGCGGAGTCCGGACTACGGTATCGGTACCTTAGTAAGGTACGGTATGCGACATTTGTACTCGAGCGACTACGCGAAGAACTCGAATTATGTTAAACACCAAAAAATACTAGTATTGCCAGATTATATCCAGTAGTATCAGCTTTCGGGCGAGCTCAGTATAGGTGACCAAGAAGGTCTTTGATCGCACGGGCGAGAAAAATGGTAATTGCTACATATTCCAATATTCCACGGACATACACACGAAACACAAAACATGTTAAACACCAAAAAATACAAACAACCGCCAAGCTTGAGGGTACCACTGTACTCGTATTTGTTGTACGCGACCATGAAATGTTGGAACCG